CACCTTTGACACAGGTTCAAGTGAACTTACTGACCACTATTATTCTAGTTCTGCGGAGCTTTGACTTTCATATCACCTTTGACACAGGTTCAAGTGAACTTACTGACCACTATTATTCTAGTTCTGCGGAGCTTTGACTTTCATATCACCTTTGACACAGGTTCAAGTGAACTTACTGACCACTATTATTCTAGTTCTGCGGAGCTTTGACTTTCATATCACCTTTGACACAGGTTCAAGTGAACTTACCGACCACTATTATTCTAGTTCTACGGATCTTTGACTTTCATATCACCTTTGACACAGGTTCAAATGAACTTACACATCGTATAGTTACCCATTATGTCGTAGTTTGTTTGTAGTTAAGCACAAAGCTAGACTATGGGCTATCTGTACTCTGCCCACCACGGGTATCGAAACGCGATTCATAGAAGTATAAGTCCGCAGACATACCGTTGTGCCACTGGGGGCAGACATCATTATGTCGTAGTCACATACGCTAAGATTTAATACAATGTTACGTCCTTGTCACGTAGGCTAAGGTTTAATATGACGTTACGTCCGGGGGACGTAGGCGAAAGAGTAAATATGACTCTGTTATTTTTAAAGTATGCCTAGTACGTTTCTCGCTAGGCATCACACAGTATCTGTACGTTAAAATTCAAGGAAAATATACAGAGTAATATCCATCAACTGGAAATCAAAGCTTCTGAAAATTAGAAATCCAATAAGGCCGCTTTATAGTTCAATGTTCGATCGAAACTTATATGAAAAAATTGAAGTATTTCTTATCATATTTCCACCGTGTAGTGTTGGGAGAACACCCACTTTGTCTGAAGCTTTATTACTTTCTTCTGTGGACCTATATTAAATGTGCGTAGTGCCCGAAATACTGTCCTTGTAATAAATATATATATATATATCTTGTTGGATTTGTATGGTAAAGAAAGTCTTAATATATAATGTTATTTTGTTTAAACATTTGTCAACAGTTTGTTATTTAATTATTCATTTGTTTGAATATTTAATCAGTTATGTTGATAGGAGGATTCTAATGAAGCTAATTAGAAATGTTATAATGAAATAATACGTGGTAATATTTGAAGTACAGTTTGTAGCTGATAAGTGCAGTGACTTGCTCAGTTTTTATCAACATACGGGTATTTTCGACTTGTATAAATTACGATATTCTTACCTTTACCTACGTGCAGTTTTTAAAAGTTACGTAAACCTAAATTATTTACTTATTATTTTGAGCCAGTACCTAACAAGTGATGGACCCTATTTTACGTTAGTTTACAGAGAAATGTAAACATGTTTATTTCTCGAAGTACGAGGTTACTGTTAGTATGAAACGTATAAATATATAGAAACCACCGGTAAAACGACAAGGAACAGTTCTCTCCCATGATCATACCTTTCATCTTTATCAGGGAAGAAAGTAACTTATATAAAGCAGGACAACCGATTAGTGGATGGAACCTACATATAGTCAGACAGGTTAGAACCTATATAAAGTCAGGACAACTGATTAGTGGATGGAACCTACATATAGTCAAACACGTCAGAACCTATATAAAGTCAGGACAACCGATTAGTGGATGGAACCTACATATAGTCAGACACGTCAGAACCTATATAAAGTCAGGACAACCGATTAGTGGATGGAACCTACATATAGTCAAACACGTCAGAACCTATATAAAGTCAGGACAATTGATTAGTGGATGGAACCTACATATAGTCAGGACAACTGATTAGTGGATGGAACCTACATATAGTCAATAGAGTTTCCAGTCATAACCGTTATTGACTAAAATGGAGTTTCCAGTCATGACCGTTATTGACTAAAAATGGAGTTTCCAGTCATGACCGTTATTGACTGAAAATGGAGTTTCCAGTCATGACCGTTATTGACTAAAAATGGAGTTTCCAGCCATGACCGTTATTGACTGAAAATGGAGTTTCCAGCTATGACCGTTATTGACTAAAAATGGAAATTCCAGTCATGACCGTTATTGACTAAAAATGGAGTTTCCAGCCATGACCGTTATTGACTAAAATTGGAGTTTCCAGCCATGAACGTTATTGACTGATTTGCCGTATCATAAAATGAATCATTAATTTCCTGGTCATACAAGTGTTTAGTCATCCATCTTAGACAGACAACTTGAAAATATCACAGTTCTTATCTCATTTTACTATTACAATCTAGGCTCAAAATATTAAAAGTACTTCATTGATTGCTTAAAAAGAAACAATTATTCACACTTCAAGCGTTCCTTTACTGTTTAACTACAATCGGCACGTTTCTTAACCCTAACCCTAATGCTGACAAACCAAGAACTAGCCTACAACGGATTATGATCATCGAAAAAATAAATATTTCTATAAATTATTATTTTCACAATCCTTTTCTGCGCATCATTCTATATCTAGATAACAATGAATCTTTCGGCCATTTTTTTTTCGGAATGTCTTTTTTGGTGTAATTTATTACCCTATGTTGTCCCAATGTAATATTCTTGTAAATGTTTTATCACTAGTAGATGGCGCTGTAAATGAATACCACTCTAATTGTCCACCTACGTCATCTTAATTTATTGCAGACTTGAGAGACCTCTATGAACTTCTTCTGAGGAACGACGCCCTACCACCAGTTGCTAGGTTCGCCCACCAGATGGAGCGCAAAGGTGGCCGATCTCCTTCTCTTC